ATCACTTACGGAACAAGCACCATATAAATGGGCTGCCTGGACACAGCCCACTTTTAATTATTCAGTCTAGATTTTGTCCCATTTCTCCTGCTTTATGATTTCTCTATTTGTTCTTTAGTTACACCCTTTTCTTGCCCTTAGGAGTTTAATTCTTCTTGGCCACTACTTTGCCTCCAGGAGGCTATAACTCTGCCTCTCTTTCTTGGCAATGATTTTCCTCCCTGATTCTACAGGGCCCAGGGTCTACCCCACTGATGTTATTTTCATCTGGCTCATATTGGCCTTGCTAGCAGACCTAAGATTTCTGGGACACTTCACCTTACTTTGGAGAAGCATATGTTGACCCTGTGGTGCTTAAATGTGGCCTGTTTAGTGATGATGATGGAAACTGCTATCCTAGAGGCTGACTGTGGTAAACTGCTTGAGCCAGCTGGGAAGCCAAAAATGGAATGCATCTCTGGGCCCTTTCTTTTCACACTTATAGCTCAGCCTGCCTGCACTTGTGCTCCCAGTGTCCTCTAGAGCGAGGCCCGATTGTTGCGGCTTCAGTCAGCTTAACAGAAGTGTCCATGGAAGAAAGTGGCCCATGTTCTTTTCTCATTTGTAGCATCACACTCTTCATAACTAATGTCCTGAAAAAGATAAATTACTTTATCTGCCCAAATAGAAGATACACAGAAAGGAGGGAATTGCCTTTATTCCAGTTTTTGAGTTACTTTCAGATCATCGGGCAGTATTTTGAACATAAAATATAAACTATTGTTTGGAGAAGGCCTATCAGCCTAAAATGACCCCAATCAGTGCTAGTTGGGAATAGTTTCCCTTCATAAGGTTGACCCCCCCTCCCCCGCAAAAGAAATGAAAATAACTTAACACAGATTTAGTAATTATCTGGTGGCATAACTTTCAGGTGTTGGATATCTTAGTAAACAAAGTGAAAGAGGAATAAAAGAAAGGCAATAATTTAAGTGGTGATGTTGTAACAATACACAACTGCCTGTGTATCTATAGGACAGATGAAAAAACAATGTTCTAATGTTATTTAAATGGCTTTGGACAAAAGCTCAGGGGCTGCATTATATTTGGATACCAAAATCCTATTATCTCAAACCCTTTAAAGGTTGTATGTTATGGTGTAAAAGAGACATCTTTTACAGAGCCTCTCTCAGCTGACTCAGGTCTGAACTGTTACCCCTGATCTGTACCTCATCCTATCCTTCTGACCACGGGCATTGTTTTTGATCCTCCCATTATGCTGTTTATGTTTCCTTTCAGATTATTTTTTAAAGATTGTATTTATTCATTCATTCATTCACTCATTTATTTTAGAGAGAGAAAGAGAGTGCACATAAGCACGAGCAGGGGGAGGAGCAGAGGGGAAGGGAGAGGGAGGAGAAAGAATCTCGAGCAGACTCATTGCTGAGCCCCAATCCCATGACCCTGAAATCATGACCTGAGCCAAAACCAAGTGTCGGAAGCCTAACCAACTGAGCCACAGAGGCGCTTCCCACTTCAGGTTTGATGCACATGTTTGACTCCCTAACCACATTGCTGAATTTGGCTGTAATGCTGCCTCTTTATCCATAGGGCATCTCTGAACTACCTTGGTAACTCTACTTCTAGACTGATTTACTCTGTCCTGATGGGATCCTTTTAGTCTGGAGCCTGAGAGGGTTTTACCAGAGGTGAGGTTACCATGAGGCTAATGAAGTTTAAATTCCAGGTTCCATGCTCACTTGGTTTCCTTTGGGATTCTGGGAGTTGTAGAATGTTCCAGGTGGAGAGAGGAAGCATTTCTATGTAAGCATTTATGTTACTCAAGAGATCTCAGAGAAAGGAACTTGAATCTCTACAGCTTCAGCATTTTAGGGTGATTTCTTGTCACATTCTAAATAAATATTTACTTTTGTACCAAATCGTGCCTTCATAATTTTGTGTTCTTATTCTTAGAAAGGATCACACAAACTGTATATCTTCAGGCCACACAAAATCCCAGTGGGATCTGCCACTGGTTTTTACTAAATGAGGTACCTGGGTGTTTTGCTAGTACCTATTTACCTGCATTTAGTAACACACAACTTAGAAGAATAAACAAACTAAGTAGAATCTAGAGAATACCCAAATGACTCTAACATCAATGCTTTGCTGACCCTTTTACAAGAGAACTGGAACTTGCTGGCAGCCAGTATATTGCAGTGTTAGTATTAGTGACTGCTCTAAGACTGGAATTCACATACTTACTTTAGTTCAAGTTGGCACGCCTTTGTGGATCGCCTACTGTGTGTGATCAAGATGCTGGGCCAGAATCATTTTTTAGTTTAAATGCAATTTAAGAGACATTTGAAATTGTCTTAACAGTGAAGTATTTTTAGTTCCTCGGAACTCTAATAGTAGTTCTCTTTAAAGAAATAAGAAATTGGAGCCACTGTGATAAATGTGATTAAATGCCAGGGAACAACAATGATAAATTGTTGGCACCAATCGTTTGATGTTCTGTGAAACAAAGAGACTTGTCAGTCTGCCAGTGCTAAGAGTTTCAGTGCAGAGGATATAAAATGAAAAGTATCCTTAAATCTTTTTTGTAGATAGTTTCATAGATGATGGCCCTGGGTAGGTTTGGGGTAACTCTTTTTCAAACCAAGGAACCCTAAATTGAAAATGAACTGTTTTATGTTCATCATTTCATCATTGTTTTAAAATGTGTCATTCAATCAGTATCAAATGCTTGTGTTTGAGAAATATCATAAAATTCCTAAAAGACAAGTAAATATATAATGTCAGGTACTGATAAATGTTTTGAAGAAAAAGTCAGAGGAGAGAGATTGATGTTTGGGGTTGGGGGTGCTGTTTTAGAAATGCTGTACTGACTTCCTAGCTATTCCTCGAATTTGCCAAGCAGATCCCCACTGGTTAGAACTTTTTTGCACTTACAGTTGCTTCTGCCCGGAAAGCTTTGTTTCCTTCAGTCTACTGCTTCAGTTATTTTCTGACTTCACTCAGTTTAAAGTAGTACCTTCCACCATTCTGTTCTTTTTCCCTACTGTACAAGCATATCTTTACCATTTGATTTTGGGAATCAAAGAGATTAAAAGAAATTCTTGGGGCACTTGGGTGGCTCAGTCAGTTAAGTATCTGCCCTCAGCTCAGGTCCTGGGATGGAGCCCCGTGTTGTCGGGTTCCCTGCTCAGCAGGGATTCTGCTTGTCCCTCTGCCCCTCCCCCTGCTCGTGCTCTCACTCTCTCTCAAATAAATAACGAAATCTTAAAAAAAAAGAAATTTTTTGATAAATCCTTTGCTGTCTGAACTCTTACTACTTGCTCTCAAATTCAGAAATTAAAGAGATTTTTAAAATATCTCTTGCTATTTGATCTGTATATCTGAATTAGGAGCCAAGTAATTTTGTATAGTAAAGGATACTTGTTTTCTTCATAGCACTTTATACCCTCTGATTTGTCTTTCTATCTGTTTGTCTGCCTGACTCCCTCACTCCTTCCACAGTGGCTGTGGAATGGCTGGGACTTTGTCTTGTCCACTGCTCTATCCCCATCACCTGGAACAGTGCCTGGTACCTAATCAATTCTCAATAAATATGAGTTAAATATATGTGTTAATAGATGAATGAATTATTGCTCTCTAGCTTTGTTGATCTTCTTTCACTTGCTTACATTTACTAACCTCTTTCCTTTGCAGAGGTTATTTCATTATGTGCTTAATATCTGTCTCCTTCTATATTATAAATTCTGTGCGGCTAGGGACCATGGTACCATTTACTTGTCAGTACCTAGCTAATGCCTAATATGTAGTAGCTACTGAAACATTCTATGGGGGAATGAATGAATGAATGATTAGGAGAAGTTTCTAGTAGGAACACCATATCTAATCTAATGGAAGTTAAGGGAAGTGAATTTCAAGCTGGGATCTGAAAAATAAGGATGAATTAGCAGGTGAAGAAGATCAGGCAGAGTGTTCCGGAGCTTAAGCTCAGACTTTATCCTAAAAGTAATAGAAGAATTTTAAACAAAAAAGTGGCACTATCAGACTTGCATTTTAGATGGACCATTTTTCAGTGGTGTTAGGAATAGACTAGATGGGCAGTGTCAAAGCAGAGAGACTGGTTGGGAGGCTTTAGTGATAGATGGTTGTGGTCTCCATTGAGTTCTTGGCAATGGGCAAAGAGAGAAGTAGATACACTTGAGAGATTTTTAGAAGGCCGAATAAGTGATTGGGGCTAGTGAGGGAAAGGGAAGAGTTAAATATGATTCCAAGCTTCCACCTTAGGCAAATGAGAAGAACATAGGGTACACAGTCTCAGTTGGAGGAGTCATCTAAGGAGAAAAGAGTCTGAGGAACCCTTAAGACCTATCTAAATTGAGCCTGAGCCTTAAGGCTGCGCCTTAAGAACTTGGTAATATAACTGAATTTTCTAAGTATAGATACTGAGATGCCTGGAAAGAAATAATCAAAATAATCAAAATGTTAATAGTATTGAAAGTCTAGTTATGTTTCTAAATTTTTCTTAATAAGCTTTGGTTATCATTATTGGTGTGTTTTATGAAGAAAAGTAATAAACTTTTAAAAATTATATTAGGATCTGCCATAGGAAATGCTGTACCAAAAAAACCCAAGGACACAAAGCTAAGGCCTTCCTAGGCTAGTCCCAATGAAAATATTGTTCTGAATAGAAGCCCACTGTGGAATGGGTTCACCTTTAGCATGTGTGTGTGTGTGTGTGTGTGTGTGTGTGTGTGTGTTGGGGGTTGGGGCAAGAGAGGAGTGGTCATTCAGAAATTTAACCTTTTCATTCAAAGAAGGTCTGCTGGAGCCAGAAAGTGTCTCTTATTTATTCACTTATCCTTAGTCTTCAGCACAGTCCCTGACAGTAACGGCTTAAGTGAAAGCTATTATTTTAGATTTTGTTATTAATATATTTATTTTTATTTATATCACTATTCACTGTAATTGTTATACAATGATGTTATTTGTGTCATCTTGGTTTGTAGGTAGATTGGGGCCAACTCGACTATTTAGTTGTTGACATGCCACCAGGAACTGGAGATGTGCAGTTATCAGTCTCACAGAATATTCCCATTTCAGGTAATCTTAAACTTTAAAGTGGTTTGTGCTGTCTTTGTTGTTTTGCTATTGCCATATAGAAAAACAAACTCTATGACAGGCAAACATTTTTATGTCTTCAAAACAGTTGTTTATGAATTTTTAGAGATCAGATTCATAAATTAAAATTTTCAAAATATTACCAGACTGAGTGTGTTTACAAAAACATAAAGACATTTTGAAAAAGTGGTGATATAAATCTGTGTTCTAGAAAAACAATAACACTTTATTGTTTAGGTAGAACATGGCTGTTTGGTTCACAGTCACCTGCAGTAACAGCATAGTGCCCGCTACATGGCAGGCACTCAGTAAATATTTATTCAGTAAATACTGAATATAAGTAAATATTAGGAAAATTTGGCTTTTTGGTAAATATGAGTATGGGAAAATTTTATATTCAGCTGATTATTTAATGTTAACCTTAAGAGGGCAATAAACATATGAGCTTACATCAACTACCCAATACTTTATTATGGTAGTAGATATCTTTTCTGTGATACAGAATATAAATATCAGTAGTTAGCTTTTGTGTTGAATCTGTTTCCAAGGGTTTTCCTAAATTCCAGTGGAGAAATAATTGTAAATCTCTCTTATATATAAGGACTTTGGGAAAATAATGGAATTTTTTTAAAAAAGATTTTATTTATTTATTTGACAGAGAGAGAGGCAGTGAGAGAGGGAACACAAGCAGGGGGAGTGGGAGAGGGAGAAGCAGGCTCCCTGCAGAGCAGGGAGCCCAATTTGGGGCTCGATCCCAGGACCCTGGGATCATGACCCCAGCCGAAGGCAGACGCTTAACGACTGAGCCACCCAGGTGCCCCAATAATGGAATTTTAAAATGTCATTACAAATCAGTTATCTATTGGTAATAAAAAACTAAATATTACTGACATTTAATCATCAAAAGGTTTAAAATCTAGATTTTTGATAAGTTATACACATTGATTGGAAATATCAATATAGCATCATGAAAATGAATTTTTTTTGAGGCTGCCCCAAAGGGCAGTAACATGAATATTTTAGATATTTAAATATATTTGTTACCTTATTTGAGTTTGAGACTTTTTCTTTGGTGAAGCAAGCTAGAAAGTATGAGATGGGAGTAAATTGAAATGACATAGGAAAGTAGTTGAATACATCTTTTTTGTAATCAGTGTACTAGATAGTCTGCTTTTGTTTTTTTTAAGTAGTTTTCAGACTTGTGTATCTCTGAATCCTAAGAATACTCACTAAAAGTTTATTGAATAAAATGTGCTCCTGGCACCTTGAAATGCCTGTTGCAGACTTCTAAAATGCTTACATTATTTATGTGTATAATATATTGATAGAATTGGGCTAAATTATCATCTGTTCCCTGAATTGTGACTTGGTACGTTGAAAAAGTTAAATTTAGGGGCGCCTGGGTGGCTTAGTCAGTTAAGCGTCTGCCTTCGGCTCAGGTCATGATCTCAGGGTCCTGGGATTGAGCTCAGCATCAGCCTCCCTGCTTGTGTTCCCTCTCTCGCTATCTCTCTCTCTCTGTCAATTAAATAAATGAATAAAATCTTTAAAAAAAAAAAGAAAAGAAAAAGTTAAATTTACTTCACACAGATAAACTAATAGCCCCAAGCAATTTACCTTTGTTTACTCAGATAGCAGTCCCTCTATTTGGGTAGGATTTATGATTATATCACCCTATTTTTATTTGTGCTTATACTCTAAAACCAACAATGTGTAGATTGAGGTTAAGATTTGCTTCTTTCTTATATGCTAAAATTTAACCAGTAATATTTCTTTATTCCTTTCTTTTGATGAAGAGTCTGCCCTGTAATAAATAGTCATTAATATCATATGATTATAAAAAGCAGTATTTTTTTTGTTGTAGTAGTGGTAAAACGTAACAGTTCAGTAGTATTGAGTACATTCATATTGTTGTGCAACCGTCACCACCATCCAACTCCAGAACTTTCTCATCTTCCCAAACTGAAACTCTGTATCTGTTAAACAATAACTCTTCATTTCCTCTTCTCCCTAAATCCTGATAACCACCATTCTTTCAGAAACAGTATTTTTTTTATGTTAAGATGAGGAAATGAGGAATGAGAAAAATATATGAGGAAAATATATTTTAAAGGATAGATAAATTTTGTATATTCAATATTGACTTTGTGCTTCAATAATAAAATTTTAGATCAACAAATATTTATCCATATAAAGATAGATGCTAAGCACTATAGAAGATCCAGGGGTAATTAAGTCACAGGTATTTTCCCTAGACCAGAGTTCTGTGATAGAACTTTTTAAAGATTGATTAATATATGGGTTCTCCCCAGGAAGATGTATTTGTATCTACAGAAATACTATTTTAATGTGTCATTTCAGGAAGTCCACAGTTCTTAGGTTAGAAGCCCCAGCTCTAGAAGATAGAACAAGGGGAAGGGCGGGTGGGGGTGGGGGGGGCAAGCGGCTGCTAAGAAAAGAAGTACAATTCAGTGTGAAAAGTGCGATATGAGAGCCCCATGATATCAGGGCTCTCACAGGACAAAGAGATCATGGATTTGAGGGGAATTATAAAACATTGATGGAGATGAGCTTTAAAGAGTAAATATGAGGGGTGCCTGGGTGGTTCAGTCTATTAAGTGTCTGACTCTTGATTGCAGCTCAGGTCATGATCACAGATTCTCTCTCCTCTCTCCCTCTGCCCCACCCCCGTGTGCTCTGTCTTGGTTTCTAAAAAAAAAAAAAGATTAAATATGATACGTTGTAGAGCATTCAGGATAGCACCATACCTTGTTTGCTTTGCTTTTTCTCAGCCTAAGGGGAAGAAATCAGAAAATGAAACTTCAGGTGTTCATAATTCTATTATAGAAACGTAACATATATTTTACTTCCCATTAAAAAAAAAAAAGTGATGCATTAAAAAAGAAATAGGGCCAGGTACTAAAGATGCTTTTGAAAATTCATAAACTTAGTGATTTCTGGACTATGGAAGTAAAATTATTATTTATTAGTATTTTCTAAATTTTCTTTAATGAGCATGTATATATTTATCATTTTAAAAAGTAAATGGAAAGCACTAATTTTTTAAGGACAGATTTCTGTATAAGTTGGTACCATGATAATTGCCCATTATTAATAAACTACCATTTAAGGACAGTCTTTCATATATTAATTTTTATATTTAATTATCACAGGTATTATCCTTATTTTCTTAGATCTTTGAAGAGTTAAGCAACTTTCCCAAGGTCACACAGTTACAGTAGTTCATAGCTGAGGCTCATATCAGTTCTTTTTTTTTTTTTTTTAAAGATTTTATTTATTTATTTGAGAGAGACAATGAGATAGAGAGAGCATGAGAGGGGAGAGGGTCAGAGGGAGAAGCAGACTCCCCGCCGAGCAGGAAGCCCGATGCGGGACTCGATCCCGGGACTCCAGGATCACGACCTGAGCCGAAGGCAGTCGCTTAACCAACTGAGCCACCCAGGCGCCCTCATATCAGTTCTGATTGTGTTTAAAGCTCATGCTCTCAACCTGTACATAAAGCTGTTCTAATATAAAGCCCAACAACATTTGACTCACTGATTTTCTGAGTTTAGTTCTAGTCCATTCAAATCCATTAGGTTGAAATTAGCCCAATTACTCCCGATAAAAATAAATTTGTTCATGAATATGCCTAAACCTGTACACCCATATATGATAAGTATCCAACCAACAGTCTGTATTAATGTTTACTATGTTCAGTTTTGTTTCTGTTTTGATTCCTGAGAGATTGCTTTGGGCTTCTTTAACTCATATATTCCAGGGAAGGTCTGGAGATAGTCTAGAAGCAGTCTCCTTTGACCTTTAGGAGTAGAGCCCCAAATGATTCTTGGAAAGACCAATATCATCTTTGGGCTGATCATACTGGTCTTGCACAGTTGGCAAGTTTCTAGGAACACTGGCTCTCAGTATAGAATTGCAACTATCAGTGTTAGTACATTCATACTGTGGGTCATTATGTCAATATTAAAATTAACAGCAATCAAAAGACTAGATTTTCGGCACTGAACATCTGTTAATTTTATACTTAGAAAAAAAATCCAGCAATAAAAATATCCTACCAAAATGATGTGTGTAGGGTAGGAGGGAGATACATGTGATTGTGTGTGTGTGTTTATGCGTGCGTGTGTGTTAAAGGCTTAGTTCCTGAGGTTTGAGCTATCTCCCAGGAAGGGTACCAACCAAGGAGCGGCTGAACTGGTTTGAATCATGGCTTTCATCAATTTATATTATCTGGAAGAGCCTATCAGATCCATATCATTCTTTCTAGGCCTAAATGAATTATCTCTTCTCTAATTATGAACCCAATTTTCCTTTCCTCTTATCATTGACTTTAGAACTCTTTTAAGATACTCTGTGTTCTACCTTTTCTTATGTTCCATATTCCATAAACCATATAAGCTTTTTAGATTCCCATTTGAGCCCCCCCTGCGATTTGACTTCCCTCTCCTTCCTCCTAAACTCCTTCACATAACCTGGGAGTCCCCTCTCAAAACCCTTAGGTACTCACTGTCCCCTCTATTCTCTCTTTACTTCCCAAAGTTTCTGTCTTTATATACATTTGACCCTCACTTAGACTATCTTTCTTCTCTAATCAGTGGGTACCCAAATCCTGCATACCCTTTATTTCAAATGTGTACTCCCTGTCATCTTCCTCAAATCCCTACTTGGGAATAATTTCTTCGTCTTTGGAATTCACGTAGCATTTCATTTAGACCAGTCCTATAGCACTTCTAATATTCTCCATTTATAGCCTGCAAAACTATTTTCTTCAGACTGTTACTCCCTGGAGGGCTAAGGATTTGTTTAATTCATCCTTGTATTTCTCACAGTGCCAAACTCCGTGCCTTCCTGTAACCACTCAGGAAATGTTGAATCAGTGAATGAGTGTTTTATCTGTGTGCCTGTATTATCTTCTCAACTGGGATGTAAGCTACTTGAATGCAGAACTTTTTCCTATTCAT